TTTTTGTCAAAAAAATTCATATGATGATAAAGAAGCAAATGAATATTTAGATGATAATCAACTTAATTTAGATAATGATGAAGAATATCTTCATTCAGTTCAGGTTAGTTTATTCTTATTTGTATTAAATAAATGATTATGATTGTAGAAGAAATCTCTATTTACTTATCGACAACCAATTCGTGTCAATCGCTTAAATGAAAGTGAAATAAATTCTGCTCGTAATGAACGTTTAAAAGAAATTCATATGTGGTCAATTATTCGAGAAATATTAATTTATATCTGTTTTTTAACAGTTCTCTATAATATAATTTATTCAAATCGTAATTCAAATTCATTTCTTCAAGTAAATCATTCACGAAAATTTTTTTTAAATTCAAGACAAATCAATTGTGATTATACAAAAGTTCGTTTTTTAATTTTTATTCGATAATTTTCATTTTATTTGAATAAATAGATTTCAAAAATCGGTGAATACTGGAATTGGTTAGAAAATAATTTCATTGAAAATATTCGTGCTCAACAATGGTATAATGGTGAACCACCGAAGAATTTAAGTGGTTTTATTAATGATAAATCTAATCGATTAATTGGTTGGGCAACGATGAGACAATTACGTGTTAAATCAACATCATGTCAAGTTCAAAATGAAATTACATCAACATGTCAATATGATTATAATTTTCATAATGAAGATAAATATTCGTATAAACCAGGATGGAAAAATAGTATAGTAAAAAATTATAGCTCATCAATTACTCAATCATTTCAATATTCAACAAGTAAACATTTAAATACATATATTTATGTTGGAGAACATGGACGTTATAGTGGGAATGGTTATGTATATGAATTTCGTGGTCGTTTAGTTGATCTTCAAAGTAATTTATCTTTACTTCATCAATTAGAATGGATTAATAATCAAACACGAGCTATTATTATTCAATTAACTTTATATAATCCAAATGTTCAATTATTTACTTCAGTTACTTTTCTTGCAGAATTTTTATCAACAACTGGAATATTTACAACAGCTCGTTTTGAACCATTGAGTTTTTATAGTATGTTTTCTCCTTTGATCTAATAAAATTGAAAAATATATTTTTAGCATTTACATCAATAATTCAATTAATTTGTATAATTATTTATATGATCATTATTCTTTATTTTATGTGGATAGAAATTCGATCAGTATTGAAATTAAAATGGAAATATTTTCAACAATTTTGGTCTTATATTGAATCTGGTATAATTTGCTGTTCATGGATAATTATTGGTATTTATATTTGGCGATATAATGAATGTAAACGTATTGGACAATTATTTAATGAAACAAATGGATATGTTTATATCAATTTACAATTAACATCTTATATTAATGATATTTTAATATTTTTATTAAGTTTTTCTTGTTTTTTTGGTACAATTAAATTATTGAAACTATGTCGTTTTAATCAACGTCTTTGTTTATTTATTCAAACACTTCAATATGCTGGAAAAGAATTACTTTCATTTCTAATGATGTTCTCAATTGTATTTATATCATTTGTTAGTCTTTTTTATTTATTATTTAATTCTGAACTTGACTCATGTTCAAGTTTATTTAAAACAGCACGAATGTTATTTGAAATGACATTAATGCAATTTAATGCACATCAATTCAATCAAGCTTCAACATTTTTAGGACCATTCTGTTTTAGTATCTTTATTATTTTAGTTGTTTTCATTTGTATGAGTATGTTTATTGCAATTATAAATGATAATTTTCGTCGTGCAAGAGAAAATATTCGTCATAATAATAATGAAGATGTAATTTCATTTATGATTAAAAAATTTCAATATTGGACAGGTATGAAAAAAGTGACTGAAGAAGAAATTTTAGAAGAAAGAAATATTCAAATGCGTTCAGAATATTATGATCCAATTGAATGTTTTCCTGACAAAATTGATCAGTTACTAAATGCACTTAATCAAGTATGTTTTATTAGTTTTTATATTATATATATGTTTAATATTATTGATTCATTTGTAGATTTATATAACTCAAACAATGGAGAAACCAACAAGAATAAAAGAAACTACATTTTAATATACATAAATGTTGTGTTTGTTTTATTTATTTTTCAATGTATTCATATACTATTGTTGTATTGTCTTCTTATTAGTAAACTATAAGTTGTCAATGTATATATGATGTCTTTCAACAAGATACCCAGTATATATTCTGTTCATATACCGAAGCAATTCTTTATTATTTTTGCATTAGTGATTAGGATGAGAACATTGCATTCGAGAGTATGAGAAAACTGAAACTTTCTTTATGTGTATATTGGCTAATGTAATACTGTGCATTTGTGTACTATCGAAACTATCAATTATTGTATAGAACAAATTACAGAATGTAGAACTACAAATCTTATCAGTACTACACATAATATTAATGTATACTCTCAAGTTTGTCTTAAGTTATGCAAAATAAGATGTCTCTATTCTTCCATTCTATAGATGTTTACTTGAGAAAATTATAAACCAGACAATGCAAACGTGGATTGAACATCTATCTCATACTTTTATAATATCATATATTCGTATCTTTATTGCAACATACTTATAGGAAATATTTACTTTAATTGTTCATAGAACAAAAAAATTTCTCTTTTCCTTCAATATCTAGCAATCGCTACATCTAGTTTACATAAATGATAACAAATCATATCATAAATTTAATATGGATGAGTTTATCAATGGTATGAACTATTCATTGATACTGGAACAGAAAGAATAATTCATTCTGTTGATAAAATAAACTTTTTCTCTTCTTCTAGTCTTCTATGTTTCTGCTGAGTATCTTTCTTTCTTGTCTAATACAACGAAACTCTACATTGTTTAGACATAATAATGCAACTGTGAAGGTCTTTTCTACAACACATATCTTTTCAATACATATTGTTTACCTTACTGGTGAGTGTTACTGCTCATATGTGTTCTCAACAAGAACAGAGTTTCCATAGAGACTCATTTACTTTTCATTGGTTTTATTTTATTTTCAAAAAAAAAATACAAAAACAAAATTATAATTTCGTTATTATGCGTTCGAGGTTTTTTCTCCATTGTTCAAGATTCGGATGATTTGTTGGTAATGATTGTTGTCCAATTTGTACAGCACGTTCACAAAATGAATGAGCTTTTGAATATTCACCCATATTCTCATACACCAAACCGATGTTGTGATAGGAAGCACCCAAATCAGGATGAGTGGAAGGAAGTAATTGTTGTCGAATTGCATGAGCTTTTTCATAATAAGAAAGTGCTTTTGGATAATCACTTATTTTTCTATACACAATACCGATGTTGTTATAGGACATAGCCAAATCAGGATGATTGGAAAGAAGTGACTGTTGTTGAATTGCAAGGGCTTTTTCATAATACGAAAATGCTTTTGGATAATCAGTCATACTGTAATACACGCTAGCGATACCCATGTAGGAGCTAGCCAAATTAGGATGATTGGAAGAAAGTATTTTTTGATCGATAGCAAGTGGTTTTTCATAATAGATAAGTGCCTCTGGATATTCTCCTTGATTATATTTAATCTGACCTAGTTGGTAATAAATAGGTGCCTTGTCATTTTCATTCGTTGTTTGAAGAAGTAAAGTTTCATAAACTTCTTCAGCCTTATTAGACTGACCCATTTTAATTAGCAATTGACCTAATCTGTACCATCCTTCTACATCTGGAAAGGTCTCTTTCCGAATCTGATCAGTAAGAGTACGAAGTTCTTGGTCGTTGTCATTGGTCAATATTAAATTTACTGTACGGAGATGATTATTTCCATCCATTGGTTGAATATCCTCAATACGAAAAATGGTATGCATGGAGAAGAGAACTTCATCTTCTGTATGAAAATAACTAACATCACCAACAGAAGCAAATGGTGTTGTTGAATGAGTAGGATTAATAGACATAATAAATAGAACTCCAACAAGATCAGGATTTGTAGCAGCTTGTTGTGCAAATTTGAGAGAAATATTGCGACTTTTACTAGTTGATAAAAAGTTATTGAATGAAAGAAGTCCACCTTTAGTATTTGTCATTTCGGTGAAATCTGCTTTTGAAAGACCTTGTCCACGATAAACTGTAAATGTTGTACTTGATTGATGACCATCAAATTGTTCTGAATGAAGTCGTTGAATATTACTATGTAGATCATTAATAAAGAAACCCATTCGAACAATGATATCACCATCCATTAATCTTAGCGCTTGATTGAGCATACGATATAAAAATACATCCCATGTATACCACCATATGGGTACCTTGTTTTTGTACGTTGTTTTCAGTTGATTAACATTTTTAAGTTCATCTTCATCATCTTCATATACTTCACAACAATATGTAATAAATTCTTTGAAATGTTTGTCTTCGAAGTTGATGGTTAATAAGATCTCTTTCAAGATCTGAGAATACATAAACGATGGATCTAACTGATCCAATTTCTTGTTTGATGCCACAAAACTAATCGAAATGGCATTTTGCTCACATTGGTGAGAAGCTTGTTGAAGAGCTTCACAGATTGATGTTATATCTGTAAAGACTCCTTTTATTTTAGGCCATTCTTTCGCCCATTGTTTATGCCATTCTTGATTGCTACAAAAAATAAAAATGGTGTCTACTTGGGACATCTCATGTACATGAGGCACAATATGTTGTCCAAGTGAACCAGAAACAATCATGCATACTTTGTTGTTATTAATCGTTTGAATAAATTCAACACACTGCTCTCCATCTGTAAATGTATTTACATTGTTAACTACACGTTTCAATTGTTTGATTGTATTACTACAATCAGCATTATTTTCGTTAATATTATTGTCAAGCCAAATCAGGAGGACATTTTGCATTCTTTGCATGTTCATACGTCGATTTGCAACTGCATCCATGGAAAAGTTTGCGACGTGTTTAGTATTAGCTTGTGTATTGGTTTGAACAGATGTTATTGCTTTGTTGTTCGCCATTGTTTGATGTAATGTAGACTATGTCAAGAAGAAATGTTTATAAATGAATGACAATAATGTGTCGTTTTATAGTATAAGAATTCTCTTTCGAGATTGTTCTTCTTATCAGTATTTCGCTTGGTTTTTTCATATTTGTTAAATATACGTCACAAAATATTACAGGTATCATCAGAGATGTTTATCAGTTACCGACAAACGAAAAGGACGTTAAAGTATGGTCGTTGTTGATAATTCAAAAAAATAATCTGTAAGAAATAGCTCTTAAAATATTTATTCTTACAGAAAATCTCTAAAGAGAATGTTATATTTTTCAGTCATTATTACAGAATGATATAAATTTACAGTTATTTTTTGTTGGAACAATGAGGAAAAGATTAAAACTATTTCTATGAAACAGAAAAAGAAACATTTAATTATTATATATGTTGTCGATTATTCTTTTTTATCTTCTTTTTATTTTCATGAGTCACAGACTTCGCGTACGCATGTTCTATGACTAATATAATGTTATCAGAAAGATGCACTTTCAGGGAAATCAAAAAAATCCAGTATTAATATATTTTTAAAATGAATAAAATTCATGAAAAAATCTTCCTTTACGTCTTATTTGCTTCTTTACTAATCAGATGTTTGAAATAAATAAATTAACTATAATACAATCATCTACTTGACCATTTTTACCTACTTGTCACTGAATAATGATCAGATGTAAACTTTTGTAAAGCTTTACATCTTCTTAGTTATGTTAGAATCTTCTGTGATAGATATTCACGTATTTATTTATACTAGTCAGTTTCACAAATGATTGTTCGTTTTAGAAAAAGCATTAAAAGTATCTGTATATAGATGAGAAAAATCTATTGAAGGCATTTTAATATCATCCAATTCTGGAAGTCAAAAACTGAATTATAATACTTCTATTTGTCTATTTTGAAGATATCAGTAATACAGAAAACAAGTTGATCGTGTTCATTTTGAAATTTTATGTTGAGTCAAAAATTCATTTTTGTAATAATCAATATGTTTGTGTTATCTTTTACAAGTAGCTTATATTCGACTAAAATTTATTTCTGAAAATTAACATATATTATCTTACGAAACATTTCCATAAAGAACTTAACTGTTTCTAATTTATGAAATTATCTGTAAAATATACTTTCACGTTTTGAATAGCAATAGTAAAAATCTAATGTACTCGTATAAACATAAATCTTCTTTGTATATAACATCTGTATTTATGTTTAATATAAAACGAAAAAAATATATAATGTGTAATAAATAACTTAACTATATAAAAATTATTCAAATTACTCAAATTGGAGAATAACTCATTGACATGTAATGATATTGTCATATTATTTTCATTTCTATATGTAACCAACTTTTTCTGATTATATGAAAGCAATAAAGAGAACGCAATTTATTTATGAATAACTATTCTCTTCACTGTATATATTAGTACTCCACTACATACGAGTACTAATTTTATGTGATGCAAAGAATCTTTACAATTTATTTTCATGGTAAACTTTTAATTTTCGCATTTCACATTTTTACTGAATGAAGTACAAATTAGATATTTGTCATAATCTTCTCTTTTATTAATTTTAAAGAATTATT